AGCCAAAATCGGCAAGTTCAGATTACTGAGAGGCATGTCATCTCTAAGTAATGGTGATGGTAAGAGAGGCTTTTAGCTAATTATTATTTCTCTTACAATGTGTGTTAGCTGGTAATAAAATAGTTGACTAAGTCATCTATGGTAGGATAAGCTAAAGTTACAGCCTGTTCAGTCCTTTGTAATCACCATAACAGTTAATATACACTTGAGTCTAAATTAGGGCTGGAAGTGCCTTTATCCTAAAATGAAGAGGCATCATCCAGGTGTTTGTTATCTCCAGTGTGATAGAGAAATGTATTGTTAGGCCACATGGATGTTTTATTTTTATGTCCAAAGGCTAAATTTTGGAGAGTTGGGTCTGAAAGTCTGAGGTATCCATAATATTTAGATTTTCTACTTTCTGGTTTTGCTGTTAACCCTAGTTTAAACCATAAAGTGAGTTTAACACCTGCTGCTTTGAGCTTACATCACAAGAATGGAAAAGCAAGTATTCAACATATGCAATACTAATATGAAACCAATAGATAAGCAACTACACCCCCACGTGAGAGAAAAACACAATTCAAGTGAAGGGGGAAGGGAGGAGAAAGGGGGATTGGTGAGCTCTCACCTAATGGGCACCATGTAAGGATATACAGTATACTCCCTGGGTGAAGGGCTCAACTACAATTCGAACTTTACCTAACAAATGCAAACACTGTAACCTCATCATTTGTACCCTCTTATTAATCTGAAAATAAATTTAAAAAATTTATCTTGACAGCCACTATGGCCTTGGCACTAGTTTTCCGCATTTGCAGGACGTTGACTCAGTGGGTAAGGTGTGTATCTTTCTAGGAAGGCCTTGGACTTCTAAATACCATTTCTACACTGGCAGTTTGAAACATGGTACACATGTATTGGCTCAGTGTAGGCTTCACCTCCATAAGAAACATTTTTTAAATCAATCTGTTCAGTTGCTGTTGCACAGATTGTCATTGCTGAGAAAATGGACAGGTTGGCGATGTTTCTCACTAAAACCGGGGCTGGCACACTTGATCTTCTGTGCATCAAGTCAGCATTTTCTCTCGTCTTTTTCATGACAAGTATCTCAAGTTTAGGCCAAAGCATTTTATGAAAATCTAGTTTTTAATCATCAAGCATGGAAGACCCTGATGACCATTTCCATCCTTCAGGGAGTTTTATCTCTTCTTTAGGGGATTTACATGAAGGAAATGGGTGTCACCACGGCTCTTCATGGCGTTTTTCATCTTGGAGCCTGGGGTTTGGATGAGCAAATAGCAGCAATTGCCGCTAGAATTCCAAGGGAGGCCGTATGATGAGAGAACTTCTTTCTGGGGGAGGCATTTTTATGTTATCCTATGTATGATAAGGTGCTGGTAAAGGGTTTTTAGCAGGGGGCTGATGTGCTTGTGTTTCAGAAGGGTCCTTCTGCAGAGAAAGGCTTGAGCAGTGACCAAGTCCGGAGGCCTTCGTAGTGATCCATGCCCACTATGCTGAGGTTGCTGATGTAGGAAGCCCAGAGAAGAGGGGATGGAGTTGGGAGACAGTTATGTATCCTGCCTGCCTTCTAGGTGTGTGCGGAGATAGAAAACTGAGCCAGATGTGCCTTTTTCTCTGGAAATGCGGCCTGTGGAGGCAGCCTCCGTTTCCCTGCTGAACTTGACACTAAGCAGAGCCTTCTATCTCGGTCTGCGGCAGACTTTCCACTTCCCTGTACCTTGTTGCTTTCCACAGCTTCCCTTTGCTCTCCTGTATCCAGGTCTTGCATCAGCCAGAGGGAAAGGTCTGAAAGAGCAGCTTTGTTTTTCTTCCAGCTGTACTCTGGCCCCTGTTAGCTAACAGTATTGGCACTGCCTCACAGGGGTGGTCATTCCCCACTAAACAAGCGCCTTACGAAACCCGGGGGCGGGCGGGCTGCGGCTTTGGCCTTCTGGAGTGCGCCTCTGCATTGCCTCCCAGTTTACTCTCGTCCAGTAGTTCTGTCCCAGCACAGAGTGGGTGTGCAGAGCGTGTCCCCGGGTTTGCTGCTCAGTGAGGCAGACCCCATTTGGCTGGATATAAAATCAATAGTTTTCAGTCACCCCTTTTCATGGCCCTCAGGGATGTACCTCTTCTCGTCCCAAGAGAATGCTCGTGCATAATTCATTCTCCTCTCCAAACATGTTAACTGCGAAAATCCTTTCAGCAGAGTGTGGACTCTTCATAAAAGGAATTTGTCGTGTTTGAAAAGGTGGCTTTATTCCAGGGAAAGACAATGGAGGGGTTCTTCGAGCATTGCGTGCTGCAGAGTGAAAACTGCTCTGCTTGGTATTCAATTAGAAGAAAGGTGGTCACTTCGCCTGTGTTTTTGGTGTCCCTGAAATCAGAGCGGGAGAGAACTTTTAGGAAGATGGCAAAGTTATTTGCACCACACTGGATGACAGAGAAACAAAGACTTTTAGCCGCCCTCAAACATAAACATCTTGTCAGCCCCAGGACCATCCTCGGACCCTACAAACCACTAGTGGCTGAGGACAAGCTGGCTTCTCTAGACACGCCCTGACTTCCACCCTGAGTCTTGTAGTAACGCTCCTGATTGTCTGAAGGAGCGAGTCGTCCCACACAAGTCAGTTGGCTTCTCAGGTTGCCCAGGGTGGTTGAACAGTGAGGCAGCTCAGATTCTCCAGGAGCCACATTTGGCCCATCTGCATGTCAGTGTAACAGATGTGTCCGTTCAACAACTGGGTCATCTAATGAAATTAGAAGTTCAGTTTACACATGGGGATTAAATATCTCAGTGTCACCCTTGTCACACCAAATTTCTCTGACAGAGGCAAGAGGAAAATGAAACTCATTCAGTATTAAGAAAAGGGAAAACCTGTTTCTAGGATGTAAAGGGAATCTTTTGCTTACTTTTAAGACTCTAGGTTCCTTAAGTAGATATGGACCAAGGTGTGAGAGGTTTGGGGCAGGTGATCTCCCAGGCCTAAAATTGAGAGATTTAAACTGCAGGAGTCCTAGAGGTCTTGTCATGTGTGTTAATTATGAAACAGAAGTCCAAGGCCAGTTTGGTTTAAGTAATCTCAGCCAACAAATATTTATTGAGTGCCCACGTAGTTTGAGAGGTCAGAGAGCACACGCACGTCCGTGAAGACTTGCCTTCATCGAGTTGTACTCTGCAGAGGACAAGACAAACACAAAACAGTCAAAATTAAAGTGAGAGTTTGTCTTAAACTAGTCGTGTTCTGCAGATTCCTAAAGTTTAGGAATACAGTGTATAACTAAGGGACATACATGAGCTGGAGAAGGCAGGGACTATTTCATAGGAGGTGGAATTTGAGAGAGGAAATCAGAGCACCCTCCAGATGAAGTTGACGGGACAAAGTTTAATACACACAGGGCTGAGAATGGCTTTTAGAAGGAAGCACAAACTCAAGTGGTGTTTCCTGAGCACCTGCTATGTGCCAGGCACTGTGATGGGGAGAGGGAGGCCGCACTCTCAGAGCGATGACAGAGCTGTGGAACCAGGGCTCCTGACACGGTCTGCAGCCTTTCAGAATTCCAGTCTGGAATGGTGAAGCAAGAGTGAGGCAGGACAGCCTCAGATCACAGAGTTAAGCTCTGACTGTTCTAGCAGAAAAATCCCAGCATACTCTGGGCTCAGGGTGGTCACTCGATGCCTGGAAGCCAGGACATTGGAACACCAGTTCCTAAGGTTTCAGCCCTCAGAGTCTGCTGACATGGTAGCTCAAATGAAACAAATTCCCAAACTTCTCTGTCATTGGCACTGAGGCCTGATGGAGAATGTGGACTCAGGTTTAAAATACTTCAGCCTTGCTAGCTAGCTGGCTGCTGAAACTTGAGAAAATAAAGTGGTACTGTTATGGAGGGTGGGACCTGCCTATCCGGGAGAAAGGTTCAATCACGGTGACTGCTGGAACAGAAAGGTTTGTTTTAAACGGGAATCTAATGAAAGCCAATGTAGTAAGGGAAACGTGTTTTATAATTTCTGTTAGGAACATTTAATTTGATTTTTAAAAATGGATGAGAATGAATGTCGCCTGTTTCCACACATAAACATTGTTTAGAAGCTGCCCGTCTGCTTTGTTTCTGGGCTCTGGTGGTAAAGTATCAATTTACTAAAACCATTTTTAAAAAAACCTTGTACCTTTATCTCCAGTGCATGCAAGTTCCTTTTTTGGCAGGATTAAGATGAGTTTTAATTCTAAACTCCTAATGAAGAGCTAAGAAGCTGTGGAACTGGTATACTTAGTGACTGATCCCTCTCCATACTAAAGCGTGTGATTCTCTATTACCAAGCGCCAGTAACATAAAAAGAATGTGCTCATGTGGGTTTATCTGTATTTGTCATTAAGGCTCTGCTAAGCCAGTGAGCCCAGAAGCAGGCAGGCCATGGGCTTTGCCCACAACGGGTGAGCCTTGTGGGCACTGCTCATGGGGCTCTGTGCCTGGCATCAGCACAGCCCTGTGTGGCCTGTGGCCTGTGGAACATTCGTCTCCAGTGATGAAGCTCTAAGGCCAGCCAGGCCTGCAAGCATTTGTTGGGCCCTGATGGATCCCTGGTTGATTTTTAGCCTGAGCCCGGTAATACCTTTGTATATGTCCCCAAGAAAGTCTTAAGTGTTTTGTAGTCTTTCCAGTAAGAGTGACTTTGTGACAAAGAGAATGCCTTCCATGGCTGCCTTTGAATAATGTTGGGACAGCTGAAACAAGTTCAGTGAAATGTAACGAAATAAGCCCAAGATAGGTGCTTAGGTGTGTCTGCATTCTACTGGTTTAAGTTACACAGGCTTCCTTTTGGGGGCATCAGTCTGGGGTCAGCCCTTGGTTTAATGCCGGTTGTCATGGCGTCCTGAGGATGACTGTGGCCAGAAATGGGGATTCAGAAGAGTGGCAGAGAGGGAGGGCTTATCACTGTGGTGTATACCTGCGCAGTAAAGTAAACAAGCATGCTCCTTCATCTCTCATCCTGAGTCCCTTCTTTTTTCCTTTCTCAGAGAGCAGAGCTGACATCTGATAAAGACATGTACCTTGACAACAGCTCCATTGAAGAAGCTTCGGGAGTGTATCCTATTGACGATGATGACTATGCTTCTGCATCTGGCTCAGGTAAGGTTGGCTGCTCCTGAACACTGGACTCAATTCCCCACGCATGTGCACACACAGGCAGGCTGCACGATGGCTGGGAGTGTGATCTTTGGAGTCAAAGTACGTGGGTTCGGATTCTAGCTCTGAACCACTGAAGCCAAGAGATCTTAGGAACTTTTGTTGGGCCTCAGTTTCCTAATTTATAAAATCTGAAGTAAGAGTAGGCCTTACCACATAGAGTCATTGTGAGGTGTCCAAGGAGTTGTCACATCTTAAAGCTCTTAGAGTGATACATCAACTTCATTATTAAGACTTTCAGGCTCGGCGCCTATAGCTCAACCGGCTAAGGCGCCAGCCACGTACACCTAAGGTGACGGGTTCGAATCCCCAGCCCGGACCCGCCAAACAACAATGATGGCTGCAACCAACAAAAAATAGCCGGGCGTTGTGGCGGGCGCCTGTGGTCCCAGCTACTTGGGAGGCGGAGGCAGGAGACTCGCTTGAGCCCAGGAGTAGGAGGTTGCTGTGAGCTGCAATGCCACAGCACTCTACCCAGGGGGACAGCTTGAGGCTCTTTCTCAAAAAAAAAAAAAAAAAAAGACTTTTAGAGTGATGTCATGGAAACCACCCTTAAAGAAGTCCCTTAAAACCACCTACCCTAAGATTAGAGAAGAGACTAAGAAGTTGCATACTTTTTTAATCCTAGTGTGTTGCTCAAAAGTAGGAGGGAAGATGCAGTAGTTAGCCAACTAAAGTGATTTCATAGTGACAGGCCCAGTGGGCTTGGCATATTAGTTACCTATCACCTCTGTAATTCCGCATAACAAACCAACCCCAAACCTAGAAGCACAAAGCAACAGTCTCTTAAATCTTTATTCTGTAGGTTTTCAACTTAGGCTGGGCTCTGGGCTCCCTCGCATGGCAGTGGGCTGCTGCAGGTTGGGGATGCAGCCTTTGGATTCTCCTATCTCTGAGGTAGCTAAGCAGACGTGGCTCTGGTCCATACAGCTTTTCATCCTCAGTAGAAGGCACAGATCCTAAGATAGCAAGTAGTAGTGTGCAAAGCCTCTTGGAGCTGAGGCTTAGAACTTGATGCAGTATCACGTCTATCACAATTCATTAGTCAAAACAAGTCAGAAGGCCAGAACAGACTCCACCTCTTAATGGAAGGAGCTATGAAGTCACATTGCAGGGGCTGTGGATACAAGGAGGGGTAAAGGATTCTAGCCACATTTGTAGTCTACCACACCTGGCAAATGTTCATCTGTGCTAGAAACGGCCCTCAAGAAGCCAAGGGAAAGGAAGAGCTTGTTCACATGTTTAATTAATGGTCAAGTCAGGGATCTGTGGCCAGCAGCCTGCTAGGGAAGTCTTATCCAGACCTTTCTTACTTAGAGTTTTTATTATAGATTCAAAGATGGTAAAAAGTTATGCTAAATGTAGATGTCTGACAGACTGGCCTGGGCTTCAGAATTACCCAGAACAAATTAAAATCAGTTGTATCTTTGGTTGAGCTCTAGCCATATTAAAGGGAATATTTTAAGTTGGAAAATAGCAAGTCTGACAAAGACAAGGAGAGGTGCTGGCTGACCTAGTAACTATGAGCTACAATGCAATTCTAATGTAAAAATAACTTTAGTTATTCTTGGGAGAGTGATAGCTATCACACACGCAGAATGAGTGTGAAAGGAGTTGTTCTCCTAGCCCACAGCTCTATAAATATCTTTCACTCATGGCACCTCTTTTTTCTTTTTAGCACCTCAAAAGTGCTTTGTAACCGTCGTCTTCAAAATGTCCCAGGAAGCAATAAATATGGACATTTTTTGCCCCCATTTTACAGATCTTAGAATCCAAGAATTGTTAGAGCTCTGTAGAGGTTGTTCAAGTCATTTTTCTGACTTCTGCCAAGATTGCCCTTCAGTTTACTTTAAAACAGATACACACTCCTGCTGCCCTGCGTTTATCTTTCCAGGGCAGAGGAAGAGGGTTGGAGTGGGTCAGCTGCTGACCATAATTGGGACTGGTGCAGTGGCTCACACCTGTAGTTCTGAGAGGCTGAGGCAGGTGGATTGCTTGAGACCAGCCTGAGCAAAAGCAAGACCCCATCTCTACTAAAAATAGCAAAACTAGCCAGGTGTTATGGCAGGTGTTGTAGTCCAGCTACTCGGAGGCTGAGGCAAGAACATCACTTGAACCCTTTGAGGTTGCTGTGAGCTATGATGCCCTAGCGCTCTACCTGGGGCACAGAGTGAGACTCTGTCTCACAATAGAAAACAAAAAAATCAATGAAATCCCGAACCCCCTATCAGATGGATCATGCTAAGGCTTAAACATGGGCTCACTTTGCTTCGGCCATCTGATCTGTCTAGTCATGAATGGATCACTTCTGTGAAAAGTAGACTAGCATCATTCTTTTTTTTTTTTTTTTTTTTTTGAGACAGAGCATCAAGCTATTGCCCTGGGTAGAGTGTCCTGGTATCACAGCTCACAGAAACCTCCAACTCCTGGGCTTAAGTGAAGCTCTTGCCTCAGCCTCCCAAGTAGCTAGGACTACAGACGCCCGCCACAACGCCCAGCTATTTTTTCATTGTAGTTGTCATTGTTGTTTGGCAGGCCCAGGCTGGATTCAAACCCACCAGCTCTGGTATATATGGCTGGTGCCTTAGCAGCTTGATCTACAGGCTCCACCAGCATCATTCTTAATTTTGAAACCACCGGTGCTGAATGGAGGATGTTGTTTTTCCAAGTAAAGTTATCAGTACTTTTTAACTAAAATTTGTGAACCACTTACTGTGTGTCAGGCACTGTTCCAGTCCTCCTGACAACCTTGTAAGGCAGAATAGATATTAATACTTTCATTTTTCACATGAAAAAACCTGAGGCACAGAGAGAATAAGTAATGTGCCTCAAGTCACACTATTAGAAAGTAATGTAGCTGGGATGGGAACAGGGAACTGGGCCTGAGAGTGTGTTTTCTTCCAGTCCTTTATGGTGGTGCCCCTGTGTCGTGAAACCCCATTGTAGAATTGAGGCCTTGCTGGAAACACCTCAACTTTTTGGCTAATGTACCGTCTGTCCTAACTCATACCAGGCCACCAGGAGCAAAACAAATGGCCTGGAGGAGAATGGCTAAAGGCCTAGGGGGCCTTCCTAGCTGAGGAGATGAGGCCATGTTATATATGCAGCTCGAGGGAGCCATTAGCACACGAAAACCTCCATAGGCGTTTACTGTCTGCTCTATACTATACCATGTCTTTGGGACAGAGATGAGAAAGACTTGGTCCCTATCCCTGTCCTCACAAGACTAAGAGAAATGAGAGAAATGTAGACATGACCAGTCATGATTGTAACACCATGTGGCATGACACAGGAAAGTTCTATACAATAAAAATTTAAGAATTCAATAGAGGCCTTTGGTGACTGAACATAGCTACCTTCCAATACCTGACTAAATCCATTCATGAATTGATAGGCACTTGGGTTGTTTCCACATCTTTACAAATTATGAATTGTACTGCTGTAAACATTCAAATTGCAAGTGTCATTTTTGTAAAATGTCTCTTCTTCCACTAGTAGTGGGATTGCTGGATCAAATGGTAGGTCTACTTTTACTTCTTGGTGGTATTTCCATACTTCTTTCCATAGAGGTTGTATAATTTGCAGTCCCACTAACAGTATTCCATTGTCTCCACATCTAAGCCAACAACTTGCTGTTTGGGGACTTTTTGATAAGAGCTGTTCTCACTGGAGTTAGGTGGTGATACCTCCTTGTGGTTTTGATTTGCATTTCCTGGATGATTAGAGACATGGAGCATTTTGTCATGTGTTTGTTGGCTGTTGGTATATCTTCATTTGAAAAGTTTCTGCCCATGTCTTATGCACACTTTTTAAGGGTTTATTTATTTATTTATTTATTTTTCTTGTTAACCTGCTTGAGTTCTTTGTAGTTTCTGGTTGCCATCCCTTTATTAGATGTATAGCATGCAAATATTTTCTCCCATTCTGGAGGTTGTCTAGTTGTGGTATTGATTGTGTCCTTGGCTGTAGTAGGGAAAAGAGTGGTGGTGATCTCTAATATCTTTTCTAACAATGTGGATGGAACTAGAGACCATTCTTCTAAGTAAAGTATTGTAAGAGTGGAAAAACAAATACTGTATGTACTCAGTACCAATTTGGAACTAATCAATCATCACTTACATGTACATATGGGAGTAAACTCAACAAAAATCAAGCAGGTGGGGGGGGTGGACATATTCACACCTAACAGGTACAATGCACACTATCTGGGTGAAGGGCACACTTATAACTTTGACTCAGTGTGTACAAAGGCAAATTATATAACCAAAACGTGTACTCCTATAATATTCTGAAAAAACAGAAAAAAAAAAACTTGTAAATGAAAGAGAGTGACCTCCCCCAAATCCAAAATTGGAAGAAGATTTACAGAAAAAGTTATTGTTAATAAATAGAGAGAAAAGAAGATGTTTTAATAGTGGAACAAGAACAGGATACTATAAAAAAGGAACATTCTGAAAGCACAAAAGAGTTCTTGAAGAGTGGAAGTGTTGTGTCAAAAATGAAAAATTCTTTAGAAGATGAGAAGATACAGAGGATATTTGTTCTTTAAACAAATATTTATTAACCACTCATTACATGAGGGAAAAGTACCATTCTGGGAACACATTAGTAAATGGTGGTGGGATCATTCTATCTATGCCTCTGTGTAATTTTGTGTTTCCAAATTTCATTCATGGAAATGTGTTTTGTTTTGTTTTTTTAAGGAAAATATGTATTCTTTTTTAAGTTGTCCTAATCCATTTTGGCTGCTATAACAATATATGTTAGACTGGGTGATTTATAAACTGCATAAAGTTATTAGTCTCAGTTCTGAAGGCTTGAAAGTTAAAACTTGGGGCACCAGCAGACTCAGTGTCTGGGTGTGTGACTCGTAGAGGGTGCCTTCCTGCAGTGTCCTTGTGTGGTGGAGGGAGTAAACAGACTGTCTCAAGCCACTTTTATAAGGACATTAATTCCATTCATGAGTGTTCCACCCTCATGACCTAATCACATCCAGAAAGCCCTTCTAAATATTATTACATTGGGGGTTAGGTTTTAATACTACTGCATTGTTGGACACCAACATTCAGATCATACTGTAAGTAGAAGAAAATATTATTTTTTAAGGAAGAGGCGATGCGTTGACCAGTGGGAACAGAGAGATAGATTAACGAAGGCTCCAGAGAGGGCATAGCATTGATGCTGGACATGATAATATAAGGAGGAGATCCCCAGGTGGAAACAGGCTTTGGGTGATGTGTTTCAACAGAAGGAACATAAGAGCTGAAAGTCAGGGACTAGGAGAGAGAATTAGGCTTCTGGTTTGGGCAAGAGGGTTAATCTTTTTAATACAGATAATGAACACAGAGCTACCTGAGGCAGATATTGGTCTCTAACTTACTAAGCACTAGCTTGAGGGGCTTTACTGCTTTATAAACTGCCCTCTCTCACCAATTCTCCCCAGCCTTATTTGATGACTCATATTGGTAACTCTTGTGAAATAAGGGGGTCTTGAAAGCCCTTGATGGAAAATTTTCATTTCTCATTGCAGTTTTATTCTTTGTGAGAAAATGATTAATTGTAGGTACAAATAAAGCATGTTATATGTAAAACATTGATGCATAATTCTTCTTTTTCTATTGTCTATAAGATTTGGCATGATCTGTTTTCTGAAATTATCTTTTATTTTTATTTATATTAGTTGTTTATTGTTTGAGACTTTGGGAAAAAAATAATAAGTTAATTGATGACTCCATACCGAACCTCAGAGTCAAAGCATTCTGTAAGAGACATACTCTTATTTGACAATGTGAATGTTACTTTCTTTGCATTACTATTATTATTATTGCTTAATACTTCGTTGCAGCAATCATCTGATTTCTTTTCTGAATGTATTTATCTTCATTCATTCTTTAGGAGGTTTTTGTTTCTAGTCCTTATCTTAAACATTGTTATTGTTGTTAAATTTTAAGCCTTTTTAATTCTGTGAAGGCAAAAAGTGGAAACCTAATAATCACATGTATATATAAAAATGAAAAAGACACTGATGCATAATCAGGTAGGCTGATGTAAAGAGAACATTATGCTTCTGGAACTATCATCATCAATGACCCATGTTTGTGTAGCAATTGATATATACAGAATGCTTTATATGTCATTTCTGGGAGAGATGTATTCATATACACATATGTGACATACCTGCTCTTCTAGTCATTATTATCCCCATTTTAGTAAAGATGAAACTTTAATGTCTAAAGTGTCACTTGCCCAAGATTGCAAAGCTATAAATCAGAACTAGTATGAGGTTGGCTGGCTACCGAGCCTGTATTTATTCCACTCTACCCTGCTGTTTCTTTACTGTGATAGAGAGGATGTGTGTATACAATTGATATACAGGCAGTCTCCGAGTTACAAACTTCTAACTTATGTACAAGTCACACTTTCAAACAGAGGCCCTTACAGGTAACAGACAAAAGTACCTGTTCTAACTTACATACTAATTCACCTTAAGAACAAACATACAAACCTGAGCCACGGCCATTGTGCTGTTTCCAGCACGTTACCTCTTACTTTCTGAACTGCTTATAAAATTCATATAATTCTCTGGAAAATACCCACACTCTTTTGTTTATGGAATCTGGGGGTATTTGTTCATTCTTGTCTGAGGAAGCAGGTTAGATTGAGTTACAGAGTTTGAGTTTGAGTTGTTACAAATTTGACAAATGATCGACTTAAAAAGAATGTTGTTTTTGGATGTCAGAAATTCTCAAATGTTTTTCTGGTAAAAGGGGAAAAAAAAAGTGCCCAGGTAAAAAGTCAGTGGAAAGGAATGTCACATTTGAATGTCAGAAATTTTCAAATGCTGTTCCGGGTGAAAAGGAAAAAGAAATTGCCCAGGTGGCAAGTTACTTACTGAACAAATAGCAGATCAGAGCCTATTATGTCTCAGATGCTATAGTAGGCCCTCTGGGAGCAAAACAGATGCAGTCTCTTGGCCTAGGGGTTTCCAGTTTACAAATCTGTAATACATGTAACTAGTGTAAGAAGGGTGGTGCTAGAAACCATTTAACAGCTACTTAGGAGGCTGAGGCAGGAGGATTGCTTGAGTCCAGGAGTTTGAGGTTGCAGTGTGTGCTAAGACTGAACGTGCAAATAACCACTGCACTCTAGCCTGGGGAACACAATGAGACTCTATCTCTTAAAAAAATTGGAACAATAAAAATCATTTAACAGAGGACTCTGACCTAATATAGAGGGAAGGTCTTCCCCAAGATGGCAGGGGTGGGAGAGAAATAGGAATTAGTCAGGTGAGGACTCCTGCAGAAGGATCAGGAAGCCATGGCTGGAGCATGACAAGCAACAGAGAAAACGATGCTGGAGGAAGCTGAGGTTAGGCCGGGGCTGACCACACAAGGCTGGGTTGAGGCATTAATATTTATCCCAAGAGAAGTGGGGGGCCATCGTAAGAGTTTTAAAAATTGCCTTTTAGACAGTGTGTGGACAGTGGGCTAGACTGAAAGGGGTCTGTTAGGAAGAAGGCAAGTCCAGTGGTTCATGGAAAGGTCCCAGTGGCTTAGGTTACAGTGGTAGCCCTGGAGCTGTGGGGAGGATTAGAGTGGAGAGAGATTTAGAAGGTAAAATTGACAAGACTAGGTGACCTCAGTAGATTTGACATAGAGGTAAGGAAGCGGAAGTCAGAGTTCTGCCACATAGAAATGGAGGGTTCGGTCTGAAACTCACTGGTTAGGGTGCTGGCAGGCTGGTGGGTTTGAACCCGGCCCATGCCTGCTAAGTAACAATGACAACAACAACAACAAAGTAGCTGGGCTGTTGTGGCAGACACCTGTCGTCCCAGCTACTTGGGAGGCTAAGGCTAGAAAATCGCTTAAGCCCAAGAGTTTGAGGTTGCTGTGAACTGTGATGCCACAGCACTCAACCAAGGGCAACAGAGTGAGACTCTGTCTCAAAAAATAAGAAGGTTTCCAGTCCCTGTGAGATAACATGGGAGAAGACCAGGTTTGTGGGGCAACGGGGCGGGATTCTGAGCTCTGTTGGACAAGTGTATTGCACCTACCTCTGCGTCACTCCCGTGCAATCACCAGGCCATTGGCTATGTGGGCCTTACTTTGAGTGGGCTGGTAAAAGTGTAGGTATCGTCTGTACTTAGATGGTTAACTGTAGCCTGGATAAACAGGGTATGCCAAGAAGGAGATGGCCATTGACTGTATCCAGCGTTGCTAGGAAGTTCCACTGGAGGAGGGTGACTCTGAAAAAATGCCATCGGGTACAGCGATGTGGAGGCATTGGAGACTGACAAAGCAGTGTCAGTCGTCTGATGATGGGGAAAATGTGCCTGGCGGGAGTGGAGGAGGGAGTGGAGCACGGAGAGGAGAGGATGGCGAGGACAGGAGCTGGTGGGCATCCACCCCCACTGGAAAATCTGCCTATAAATCAGGGAGAGAGGCAGGTGCTCGCGTGCGATAAGGAAGGACTCTGCTGTGAGAGAGTTTTCCTTTTTTGTATTTTGTTTTGTTGTGTTCCTAAAATGGGAAATGGAGCATGTTTCTGTGTAGACAGGAATAAATCTTGTCAAGCAGGAGACACTGAGCATGTAAGTGAAAGAAGGGCTGCTTGAGGATATTTAGAATAATATTACAGAAAAAAATAGCCAGGCTACCCACAGGTCCCCTTTGAAATGACTTCTTTATTGCAGGAAGACCGCAGGACGGTTTGCGCTGGAGTCTTAAGGAGGTGGCGCTTTGAAAGGACGTGGCTCCGTCAGCATCGACATTAGACAGTGTTGCCTGGTGATGGAGGAATCTGTGTCGTGAGTCACATGCTCAGCTCATCTCTGCTTATTTTTCCAGGAGGTGATGAGAACGTAGAGAGTCCAGAGCTGACAACATCTCGACCACTTCCAAAGATACCGTTCACTAGTGCTGCTCCAAAAGTGGAAACCGTAACACTGAATGTACAGAACAAGATGCCTGCTCAGACGAAGGTGCGTCTGCATTCAGGTCATCGTAAATGCTCCTCTCTTTAGATAGCGCGCGACAGTCCTGTTAAGAGGCCCCGGTTAAAACTGCGTAAGGATAACTGGTCTTTTTCTTACATTGTAGTGAAGGGCTGTTCCTTCCTTCATTTCGGCATTTACTCACAGGCTTAGCTTATCTATGATTTTTTACCCAGCTCCCTTCTTAAGCAACTTCGGAAGAAGCAACGCATTGTTTATTTGGCTTAAGGCAAGAACGTGGAGTGTTTTTTTTTTCTTTATTGAAAATGCTCTGAGTTTAAACCATTGTGAACTTTACACATGCTGAAACACCTCATGGAATGAGAAGACTGCAGGTCGCGTCTAGAGATGGTGGTAGTTTTAGTAAGTCATTTCTCAGGGTCTCCTTAAACCTATGCTCAGAAGTAGGTAAACCTTGACCTCTTTCAGCGATAATGATGAACTGGGTACATCTGTACAACTTTGTTTTTGAGAGCCGACTTATTAAAAATAAGGTCTTTGGCCTTAGAGCAGAGCAAAGCTGCCAGCTCATTAAAACTATGAGCTCATGATTGGGGTCGTGTTAATACTGCAGTTAGCTGACCATTGCTGATGGGGAGACCACTGAAGTTGGAGAATGTATATTAAAGTCCAGAGAAGGACTAAGTTTCAAATCCTAGATTCAGTCAAGTTTCTTAGCTTCTGAGCCCATTTCTTATGGGTCATTAAGATTAAACGTGAAGCCTGTAGTGTAGCACCTGAGACCTCGTGAGCAGTCTGTAAACGCTAAGTCAGTTTGGTGGCACAGAAAAGACCAAGCCACTTCCCAAATGAGGACAAGTAGTGCCTGCGGCATCTGCCACTGGGAATGCAAGGGAGCTTTTCCTGCCCTTACCAGACTGCCTTTGTTCCTCCACCTTTCCCTGTCCTCCCAGCGTATGCGGCAGCAGTTTGATGGGTCTCTACAGGTGTGAAGCAGCCAGGCGGTCAAGCCCCCTCCCAAATGGAATGTTCTCTGTAGGAGTAAGAAGGGTTCATTACTGTTAGTGGCAGATGGACTTCTCAAGCCATCTTGAGGCATTGGAGAGGCCCTGTGGGGCAGGGGCAAGGAGAGGCCCTGTGGGGCAAGGAGAGGCCCTGTGAGGGAGGCATTCCTTGAATGTGCTGGCTCCATGCGTGGACCCTGTTCCATTCATGGAGAAGTTCAATGAATGACAGACAGGAGAAGGGGAGAAATGAGAAGCAGCAGGTGTATTTGATGGAAGGATGGCTGAACACATCAGAGTCTGTGTGGCACCGTTATCTAGCATGGCCATGGAAAGATGCATTTTGCTTTTACCACATTTTTATCAGACCACTTCTTCCGACTGAATCTCCTGTAGTCAGTGACCATTAGGATTCACTAGCTTGAGGCAAGAAACTCTCCTGGATGAGTTTTGGCTTTTAGTGATAGAGCATATCCTAAGTAAAACCTAATTTGATGTAGAGTTCTGGTTTGTTGATAACCGTGGGTTGAAAACCGGTGGAAGGTTTTTTTTAATTGACCTTAAGGAAGTAATTGCATCAGATCAAGATGTTTTTAAAAAGAGACATTTGGCAAATAAGTTTAGAAATTAAGGATCCCAAAGCATTCTAACTAATGTTTATATTTCTATCATTTGTGTTCAATGTAGTAATAATAAAAAAAAATTATTCATAGGAGATTTACTGAGCACTATTCATTATGTGTTGAATGTTGTCATAGGCACCGATAATGATAGTATTGGTAATGAATAATAATAGCAATTAAAATTTCCATTTGTAGTTTATGTGGTGTAGCTGAATTAAACATTGCCTTTAGGATACCATTAGCGTAGATTTTGCTTTTGAATGAGTCTCACAGTGGCATTAATGTCACTATTATAGATATTCATCTAGTTTCTTGTAAATTTGTGACTAAAATTAAATAAAAAACAGAGTTACTTGTTTAAGCAGAGCATTGCTCATAATCCATTCCATTTCCAAGGCATCCAATAACTAGACATGGCTGTGACAGATCTTCCGTTGGCCTTATTCAATCACTCATGCTCCCTTTGTGTGACTTCATTTTGCGCTTATATACACCTATAATACAACAGTTAAGGCCATTCAGATTAGTTCCATGATGGGGAATGCTGCCTTCTTAGTCAAGCATCTGCTTCCAAATAATAAAATTTTTCAATTTAAAAAATGAATGAAGTGGAAACCTAATATGCACATGTAAAAGTAAGAAAAATAAAAATGAATGTTCCATCTAGAGCAGCTGAAGGCCTGTGCACCTCTAAGTGTCGGGCAGCTTCAGTTCTGGGGAGACCTGTCTCCACACTCTCAGGTCCCTGGCATGCACGCTTCTTTCTGCCTGCTGGATAAGAGGCTGAGTCAGAGGGAAATGAAGAGGTCAACTCTCTTAAATGACTAGACTCAAGAACCCCCAGGTGAATCTTTGAGCTTAGTAATGTTAATGGGGCAAAGATGATGGGGATTAAGTCTAATAATACAGTAGCTACTTGTGTCCCGCTCATGTCCACCAGAAGTTGTTACATCTTTCCCTAGTTATAAACCTGAGTGTTGGCCTATTTGAGATTTTTCTTCCCCGTCCTAAGCTCTCACAGCAGAGCGGTGCTAATGAGCTGTGGGAAGGTTCCTAGGTTAGAACCCAGCTGATCCATTCTCTGAACTCTTGAGCTGTCTGTCCTTGTACAGACGGCCAGTTAGTAATGGGCTTTCCACAGGGAGGATGGAGAAAACTCAGGCAAAATGCTGCCAGTGAGCTTCTCTCTTCTGCTTTGAAACATGAATACCTGGAAGACTTTTCATATTTTCTTCTATCTCAGTCACATGGAGAAAGGTGAAATTTGGGGTGCATATGGTGCAACAGGGAAGTCATTGCTGTGTGGCCTCTGCTTTCTTAAAATCATGGCAGGTTAAGGTTTAGGCAGTACAGGATTTCTTGTGGCTTGGGAAAGAGTCACACTTTATTATACTTTATTACATACCATTTTGAGTGGAAGTTGAGTGGTCTGGTCAGAGAGAAGGACCCATTGATCCACGTACCATGGAGTTCAAGTGGATCCACCTGATATAATTCTTTTTAGAAATGAGGGTGGTTAAGGCATCCCAAGGAGTTGAGGTCTTCTTTTGTCCTTTAACCATCTAAACTTCAGTAGCAGGCCACCATTTTGGATGAAAGCTGGCCTTCAGAAAGCAGCCAGTTGCTTTACTGGGCTGTGGCCTATTAGACTCTCTAGAGTCCTAACGAAGATGGTTGGATGCTCTCAGGAAGAGCAGTAGAGTGAAAGGGATTGTTGTCTGCAGCCTAATGGAGTTGACAGTGTTTTCCATCAATAGTGTTGGCCAATAAGGTGGTCAGCCTGGTAGAGAAAGGACAAGTTACTTGAGCTGAACTTCTCTAGCCCCTTGGTTCTTAAATCATTGATTGTCTGGAAAACTTTAAATAAAGAACCATAAAAATCAGTGTCGGCTTCCTCACCCTAGACCAGTTGTAACAGTATCTCCAGGCAATGGAGCCTTTTTTTTAAAAAAAGGCTTTCAGGTGATGCACATTTTCAGATTTCACTGTTACCTTAAGGGATTCACACCAGATGGCCATTGTTGGTACTGAATGTTAGGCAGCAGATAATTTCTGTGTTGGTGTAGTAGGTGGTACAGAGTTCTGGGGTTTTAGCGAGGTAAAGAGTCAGAGAGGCCTTATTAAGGACAAATGAACAGTGAAAGAAGTGAGAAATGTGTACTAGGGTTATGAGAACTGCATGAAAAAGGCACAGATGTTAAGAATCAGTTTTGGTAATGAGGAGGCTGGGGAAATGGCCTCTCAGGGTTGTCGCTGGAGAGTAAGTGGTGACTGGAAACTACCCAAGGCGTGTAGTTCTGAGACGGGTGCAGCAACTTGGGTGTGATGTGCTAATGACCTGAATGAAACTGTGGAAATAAAAACCCCAGGGAGGAACCTGACATCCCAGTCCAGGGTTCACTGAAGATGCAAGGTTAAGTGGAGAGACGCATTATGGAGCAAGGCTGGGGGACTGCTCCCCACAGAGCGGGGGCAGGAAGAGCCCTGTTGGACACGAGAGAATCCCTTGAAAGGGAACTGTCATCACAGTGCCTTGAGCAACAAAGAGATGAAGGAGTGAGGAGAACTGGGGTAATGCTGTTGGGTTGGAGTGTTGGGATGGAGACGGTGACCTGAACTCAAAAGAGTGGTGAGAAAGCAGAGACGTTATGAAATGTCCTAGAAGACAGCCGAGCCACGTCACCAGCATGGCTGTGAACTGTCTATCCATCTTGCCTGATGATGTGACAGTTGTTAAAACCGGGAACAACATGGGTCCATCATGTAACTCACTTATTGGTATAAACTTCACACACAATGATTTTTCCGATGACTTCCTTAGCTCCTTTCTTTGAAAAGAAAGAACTTTGTGATATACTCTTGTGTTACTTTTTCTTCCCAGCACATTTTTTAAAAAGTAATCTTTCCTTTTTCCCCCTGTAACAGTCACCTGAGGAAATTGATAAGGAGAAAGTTCACCCCCCTGACTCAGAAAGGAAAAAGAACCGATCTGAAGAGGATACAAATGTATATACTGAGAAACACTCAGACAATCTGTTTAAACGAACAGAAGTCCTAGCAGGTCAGTAGCTGGGTGGGTGTCAGGGAGGATGCTTCAATAGGCCTCTGTTAGTCTCAGTGATAGAGGCGTAGCAAAGCTTACTGTCACCATCTTACTGAAACAGTCTTGAGACCCTTTGTTCCAGAGTGAGAAGCAAGAAATTAGGCACATATCTTTATTTTTTGCCAGTTCCTTCAAGTTACCGCCAGCCACTGGCAGCTTAGAAGAGGGAAGTTGGAATCTGAATTGGTCCAGAACGGCTGGGCACAGGGAGATGGTGGCATGAAGATTAATCAGTCATCCCTGATTTCGACTTAAACTTAAGGGAAGGAAAAGTTCTTTAGAGGGAGGGCAGTTCACACCAGTACTGCCCAAAGCAGTAATTTTCTTTTCTTTTCTTTTTTTTTATTAAATCATAGCTGTGTACATTAATGCAGTCATGGGGTACAGTGTGCTGGTTTTATATACAATTTGAAATATTTTCACCAAACTGGCATTTCTTCCAAATGCCTTCATGGCATTTTCTTAGTTATTGTGTTAAGACATTTATATTCTACATTTAGAAAGATTCACATGTACCCTTGTGAGATGGACCATAGGTGTGGTCCCACCAATCACTCTCCCTCCACCCATTCTCTTCCCTCCCCTCCCCTCCCCTCCCTCTCCCCCTTCCCAAAGCAGTAATTTTCAACTTACCTGAAATGCTAATTGGATTTTTAAAGGGGAGGATTTGTAAGAGTTAAGAACACCTAATCTTTCAAAGTATAGTCTCAAATTCAAGATTGGAAAGAAATTTGGCATGATTTTTTTTTATATATTTACTCTTACAAAATTTAACTCAGTTCTATCATGTTTTGTGTTTTTATTGAAAAAGCAATTAGAAGATTAGAATTTGAAATGTGAGTCCTGAAAAGACAGAAGTGGTTTCAAAGTATGGAATTAGTTGAGGTCTCAGCCAGATTTTTCTTACTGAGGCTTTTGAGTGATATTATTAATACAATCAAAGAAAGTATTGTACTTTCCGAGGAATGTCAGATTTGCATAATTACCTGGTTGCTCCATTGAATCCAGTTTTCTTTTTTTTTTTAATTGGCATTTTCAAATTAAGCCCTTTATAAAAGCATAAATAGATGGGGCTTGACAAAGCGCACTTCTGCAACCTTTGAATCTCTTCTAAAGCTATCTTCTCTTTGGTGTGTTTCAGCTGTCATTGCTGGCGGAGTTATTGGCTTTCTCTTTGCGATTTTCCTTATCCTGCTGTTGGTGTACCGTATGAGGAAGAAGGATGAAGGGAGCTATGACCTTGGAGAACGCAAACCATCCAGTGCTGCTTATCAGAAGGCGCCTACTAAGGAGTTTTATGCGTAAAACTCTGACTTAGTGTCTCTATTTATGAGATCACTGAACTTTTCAAAATAAAGCTTTTGCGTAGAATAATGAAGATCTTTGTTTTTTTTTGTTTTGTTTTTTGTTTTTTGTTTTTTCATTAAAGAGCCATTCTGGCACTTTAATGATAAAAATTCCATTGTATTTAAAACTTTTCATGTATTTCTTTAGAACAACATAAAATTACAATTTAACATCTGCAGTGTTCTGTGAATAGCAGTGGCAAAATATTATGTTATGAAAACCCTCGATGTTCATGGAATTGGTTTAAACTTTTATGCACAAATCCGAAATGATTGTTTTTATCCGATGGTTTGAAGGTGAAAGCCGTTTCAGTCGTGTCGGCGTGTCTCTGATTGACCTTACCAAGCTGGTCTTACTTTGTTAATTTATCTGTTGTCTCCCTCTTCTCCTCTGCCCTCCCCTCTTGTGCCCTTAAAAACAAAAACAAACCCTCTGCCTTTTGTAGCTGTCATGGTGCAATTTGTCCTTGGGATAATCCAGATAAGGGTAATTTAGTGTATATGTGATTTTCAAATATGTAAACTTTAACCTCCACTTTGTATAAGTTTTTAAGTGTCAGACTATCCATTTTACACTTGCTTTATTTTTCATTACCTGTAGCTTTGGGCAGATTTGCAACAGCAAATTAATGTGTAAAATTGGATTATTACTACAAAACTGTTTAGTCATATCTATCTAATCAGATCTTCTTTTCAGAGGATTTGATGTGAGTTATTGACAAGCCTCAGCAAACCCAAAGATGCTAACAGTATTCTAAGAAGTTGCTGCAGATTCCTTTGGCCACTGTATTTGTTAATTTCTTGCAATTTGAAGGTACGAGTAGGGGTAAAGAAAAGTCAGTTTTTGTTCTTAAAAATGCATTTAAGTTGTAAACGTCTTTTTAAGCCTTTGAAGTGCCTATGATTATATGTATCTTGTCGCAGACTGGTGTTAATGAGTATATATAACAGTTTAAAAAAAGTTGGTATTTTATAAGCACAGACAATTCTAATGGTAACTTTTGTAGTCTTATGAATAGACATAAATTGTAATTTGGGAACATAAAAACTACTGAATAAATCATGTGGCCTAATATTGAAAATGTCACTGTTATAAATTTTGTACATTTTCGATCAAATGTACATCTCCTTGGCTAACGACCGTCTGCTCTCAAGGATGACATGGGTTTGATTTCTAAGTATTCCACAGTGTCTGTAAATCAAGACCAAAGAGCAAGTCGATGAGGCTGTTTATTACCAGACTCACTTCTGAATTGGCCAGAGGAAATCTGACTGTATCATCCTGTGTGTGTCTGGATATAGATTTTGGAAGGCAGCCAGGGAATTTCAGAGTTTGCAACCTTTATAGGATAGCTGATGGCAATATTGAGACAGATGCCTGCTTTTGCAAATAACTTTTAAAACTATAAATTACAAAGATCGGAAGGGGGCTTTCCTAAAGTCAGTATCTAAGGCTTAGACCTATAGATGGTTTTACCTTTGAAATCGGGCCCCAAATCTTGCCTGATGCTGAACTAATAGATGGGATACGATAGGTCACACTATGGGGAAGGAGGGAGGGGCAGGGAGGCTGTGTGTGTTAAATTGAGGGCCTCACTGCTTAGGCCTGAAGTGGCTGGAAAGAGTGATACCTGAGGACGAGGCAGAGGCATGAGGGTATCTAGCTGGTATTTGCTTTATTGAACGTTTCCATTTTCTATTTTATTGTTAGTTTTGTTTTAAACTGCGAGCTGCCAAAGTAGAAGGAAGACAGCAAAACCAGCAACTTTTTCAACGTGTAATTTACTTTTAATAAAGTATGACTCTTTTCCTTTAGACAACATTCCCTGGAATTGCCACAGAATTCATTTTAAAAAAATATTTTTTTAAGCAACACTTAGAACAGTGTTTACTTAAATTCTTAATGGCCTTAATTCTCAAAAGCCTGCCCCATCACTTATAGAATCAATCCACTTTAGAGTGATTAAAAGGAAATGATAGCACCTTTTAAAGCCACACTATGTCCCTCAATTACAGAGGTTAAGAATGTAGTGGGTATGCCTCTAACTGTGCAAAGCAGAGTGAAATTCAATTCATAGAATAACAACTGCTTGGAATATCCGTGCCAGGAAAAGAAAAATATTCTGGCAAATATTTTGTCACTGCTGTAAAGCAAAATATTTGTTAAAGTGCCAAAATAAAGTCTGTCATGCCGAAAGTAAATCATTGTATAGACTGGCATCCAGTTTTCTTCAACTGTATATTTTCTGCTTATTTTATTTTTAAGATGCAGTAAATAATACTATAAAAAGTGGTAGTAATGATTACTGAGTTCAGGGAAGTTTTGGTAAAATACCAACTACTTGTATAAATATTAAAGCCAATGTGAAAAGCTCCTGTTTTCTTAACCACATGTAAGTGAGTTCCCTTGTGTGAATATAGCTTTGTGTTTGAAAGACTTGGCAGTATTCAGACTTTCCGGTTTTCAGCATATAGGGGGAACTGGGATGAGCTCTGGGCTTTTGTTTTAAGTTTTAGCTGCAAGTGCATAGTACCTGAACTTCAGGTTTAGAACTTGGTTAATAACATGAAATATAGGTTAAATAAGATTGTAGAAATTGCCATCTCCTAATGTGAAAAGTTGACAGTTTCACATAGTGACTTGGTAATTTACATTTTTGCAAATTAGAATGCCCCTGTTGAGCATGCATTCTGTTTAGTATAGGGTCGAGAAGAGCAAGCTAAATAAATAACATAATTCCTTCTTTGGTGGCCCTAAAGGAACGAATATGTCCTACAAAGGGTGTTTGTTCCTACAGGAACGGGCACAGTAATAACTTTATAGTTTTACGGAACGTATTTCTTTAATATCTGAGACATTTTGAAAGCCGAAGGAAAATTTTAAAGTGAGGAACAAATGTAAAAACCTAAAAATATGCAGGGTTAATTGAATAAGTGGAGTCTTCTTTATAGATTTATGACAATTATGTAACAGGGTGGTAGAAAACATATTTTTAAACATACTTGATAGTACCAAAAAAGGCAATGCCTTCAGCTGTACAATCTTTAATGGGAGTTTCTAAGTTGTAAGGCTCTTGGCAGACAACAGTGAGACCCTAAGAGGTTTCCTCTTAAAATTAATCGAGCCCTATAACAAATGGAGTCTGAATTGAGCGATCTCTAAGGTTCTTTTACGTTGTAGCATTTTATGACAAAATTTGAGACCTGGCCATTTGGGGGAATTATATTTAGCTGGCATAGAAAACTTAAAAATGGGTGGAGCATCTTTTAGTGGTAAAAGCCGTATAAAAATGATTTTTGCCCCACTCTGTCTCCTAACTCTGGGTGACTTCACTCTTAAGATTTAAGATTGTAAGGTTTGATTTCTTTTTGTTTATCTGCTGTGTATGCTGTTTAGTTGGGCTTTTTCTGACCATGGAATCGTGGCAGCTTTGGGAGAGACTCGGTTTCCTGTGAAGAGCTGGAAGGGTGTAACCCAAGCTGCGGATCCAACCCACAAATAACAGTGAAGCTTTAGGCTTTGGTGTTTCAGACATACTGAGCATAAGATGCATTTATTCCAGTTTTGTTGGCAAAATGGCATTCAAGAAACAAATAGTTGTATGTTCAAGCTATCAGAAATTCAGTCGACAAATACTTGCCTACTGACTATGCACTGGACACTCCTCAAGAAGAGGGAGATGTCATGGAGAATTACATAAGACAATAAGACAAAGACTCCTCTTCACATGGCACTTTCCTGAACTTGTATGAACACACAGTGGGACAAAATCAAATGAAACTAATGAGTGGAAATTTTATCAGCTGGTGGTAATTTCCATAGTGGACACCATACAGGCTGATGTGAGGACTGAGGGCTGTTAACAGCCCGGATGGAATAGGTGTGCTGTAGTAACAGTCTCAAAGTGCTCTGGGTAGTTGTCATCCTCTAGGGCTCAGGCAGATGGGAGAGCCATTGTCTGTAATACTGGCAGTCACAATGGGAGAATGAAGAGGGGTGAAGCACATGGCTCCTAAAGCGTCCACTCATACTTCACTGGCCAACTTAGGTCACATGGCCACAGCAAACATCCAGGACATGACAAAGCACAGTCTACATTGTGCCCAGAAGGAGAGTGATGGTATATTTGTGAACAATGATTTCTATGGTCACGTAAGATTTCCAAGAGGTTTAAGGCCTGAATGATGTGGAGCCTGTTGTGCTTAAGTCAGAGCAAGCATCTCAGGCTTGGGAAGGCCCTAAAGAGGGAACAAGCTTGACATATTAGAGGAACAGGAGAAGACCAATAACCTGCAACCAAGGGGAAGAAGAGATAGAAGAGAAGGCTATGATGTGTAATCCCCTCTTAGTCTTGCTTCCACTTGAGTACCCTGATATTAGTATTTTGTGTTCTATAAGGAAGCTCATTTCATCAAGGGATAAATGAGGCCAGGTGTGGTGGCTCATGCCTGTAATCCTAGCACTTTGAGAGGCTGAGGCAGAAGGATCATTTGAGGCCAGGAGTTCAAGACTAGACCCCATCTCTACAAAAAAAAAAAGATTAGCTGAGAGCTGTGGGACACGCAGTTAGCCTCAGCTACTTGGGAGGCTGATGGAGGATGATCACTCAAGCTCAGAGTCTGAGGTTGTAGTGAGCTATGATGATGCCATTGCACTCTAGCCCTGGAGACAGAGCAGGACCTGGTCTCAGAAAATAATGTATTTCCATGAAATGGCTCTTGCAGCACTTAAAGTCTTGCTTCTTACCCTTGCCCTCAAGGTCTTCAGGAGAGTTCACCTCCTGAACAATGCATTATACAGGGACACTACAGGATGGGGGGTTGCCTGTCCATTTAGAAGGTCATTGTATAGTTGCCTAGAGGAGAAATGGTGGTGGCTTGGCCTAAGGTGGCCATAGTGGAGAAGGAGAGCAACTCTTTGGGGTGCCGGAATTAACAGGTTTTACTAAAAGGTTGGGAGAAGTAGTGAGTAGGGAAAGAAAGGAATTGAAGATGGCAGCCAGATTTTTGGCTGAGTCGTGGGTGAATCATGTTCTGACAAGAGGAATAACAAGGAGATCTGGGTGGTCAATGAAGAGACCTTGTTGGGCCATGTTAAGTTAGAGAGGACTGTGAGATACCTGAGTGGAGGTGTCAGGTGAGCAATTGAATGTAAGCACCTGGAGCTCAGAGAAGTCCAAGGTGGAGATGCTAATTTAGAGCAGTCCATCCTTGGCCCTGTCACTCTCATTCATTCCCTGCTCTTCCCACTCTGCTCCGTATGGCTTGGGTGCAGGTTGACCCAGGGAGAGGGGTATGCAAGGTTGACCTGCGCAAACCACATTTCCCAAGCTTCCTTGCCAGCTGGCCTCAGAGAATTTGGCCAATGGAAGGCAAAAGACCACAGTCAGGAGGAATGGAGAAGCCAGAGTAGCTTCCCTTCTCTTTGCTATGGGAGCATTAATACCTCTCTAGCATTACCGTACCTCTCCTGTGGGTGGGGTCCCCCCAGACAGGCCTCCTCCCTGGGCTCAGCTCCCACGATCCCTAACTCATACTTTGTCTCTCTATCTCTAGGCAGAGTAGCAACTTCCTGATGTGGCTGTTCTCTGGGCTTTCTCACCCTTCCCAGTTTGCTCTTACAGCTTTCTGACACCTTTCCAGCTGACCCCAGTATTAAATTTTCTCTATTGTGCTGCCTGACATGGGTTTTCCTTCCTGGGCCCACCTGATGAGAGAGGCGTGAACAGCATGGGGCTAGTATTAAAAGTCATGGGACTAGATGAGGTTATTTGCAGAGGTAAGTACAGTAGTTCCACCTTACCTGTGGGACATCCATTCCAGACTCCCAGTGGATGTCTGAAACTATAGAAAATACTGAACCCTAGACTGTGTGAAAGTTGATCATACAAATTGGATCATTCTTGTCATACACAACTAAGTCAGAGTCAAGGGGCCAGGGAGAAAAAGTGCTCAGAGCACATAACGTTACTACAAGAAGGTAATTCCCTGCAAGCCCGCCTGCAGTAACCTGAAACTAATTTTGTCTAATAGCTACCAAAACAGCCAGCTGTGACTCTAAGACTACTTTTACCCACCACCATCACTCTCCAGAGCTTGCCAGCTCTCCTGAAACTTTCCTAGTGCCAGTGAACTTTAATTCAAAACAACACATAATGTTTTCCTTTTTTTATGAAACTTCCCACCTTCTCTTTGTCCTTTGGGCGTACCACTGACCACGCAGTCTGTGTATGTGCCCTGGATCGCAATTCTTGCTTCTCAAATAGTTTGAGATTCATCTCTACGTTTTATTTGACCTTGTACTGTGTTTTTCCCTCCACATATATAACCTATGATAAGGTTTAATTTATACATTGGGCACTGTAAAAAATAAAAGAACAATTCTAACAATACTCTTCACAATTTCAATCTTACCATGGATCTTCGCAACCACAGCACAGAATATTTTTTTCTTTCCTTATTAAGTTGAAAACTTTCCCTTTCTCACTTAAACGAGGCACTCGGCTTCTCTCTGGCTAATTTGCCATCACTACTCTTGCACGTTGGGGCCACTATGACGTAAAATAAGGCTTACTTGAACCCAGACACTGCAGTACCACCACAGTGAGTCTGAAAACCCATGTGGCTGCTAAGTGACTAAGGACAGGTGGTATCTACAATGTGAATTGTAGGAGAGGCCAGACAAAGGAAGGGTTCCCTTCCCGGGTGGGATGGAACAGGACAGCACAATGTTTCATCACTCCACTCAGAATGGTATGCAATTTAAGACCTTGAATTGTTTATTTCTAGAATTTCTTATTTAGCATTTTTGGACAGTAGCTGACTGCAGGTAACTGAACTGTGGAAAGTGAAACCAGTGGGTAAGAGGAGACTAGATAGATAAGAGAGGATGGCCCTGGGTCTGCCTTCCAGCAAAGTCTTTTGGATGAACCACTACCAGATCCACTTTTTAGCACTGGTTTGCTGTGTTGGCAGATGCTGAGCACAGAAGACGATCTTTCATCACAAAGGAGGAAAATCCTCGTGAAGCATAGCAGAGAGTGTATTTTTGAACAAATTAGTAAGTACCTTATGTCAAAGTATCTGCTTCCACCTGGTCACTAATAACATAAAGTATGAACTGTTGTTTTGATTGTTCTCTCTCTCTCTCTTTCTTGATTGGGAATGGCAGAAGTTGGCAGAAATGCAAACAGGGAGACTAG